AACTCCTAATTTGCTGGGTTCGTCTTGCCCTTTGAATGCCCATTTATTTTCTTATCTGCCTTGGTGAACTTGTTGAGTAGAATTCATAAGATTAACAGCTTCGGTAGGGTCGGCCCATTGAAATGGCACGTATTTGTGCGAGCATACTGACCTGATCTCTCATGCCTCTGACATACCAACTACGTCAAGAATAAAATACGATTCGGAACTTTCAATAATGTAGGTGTACTATCCTAGGGTACATATATATTACGACAATAAACAGGGTATATAACGGACGTGAGCATTCCACAATCGGTAAGGAGGAATTTCTGTTTTTTTCTGCCCCATGAGCAAATTTTATGAGGCCCTCAGCGAGAATCTCATTTATAATAATGGATAAATTATTAACAACATGGTAAGCCTTATGCTCCTCCAACAAAATGTGGAATTGGCAAATAGAAAACAGTAGAAAAGTACGACATTTAAAGTAAATGGAGGAGGAAAGGCCAACTTTGAACAGAGTGAGGTGATCACCCTTCAATTACACCAACATTATATTCCTTCCAATGTTTCTTTTTGCACTTCCGCTTTTTGGTCTTATTGCAAAGACGTGTAAGGATAACTCTATTCTTTGAGTCCGTGTAGGTGAACGTGAAGTGGCGAAACGACTAGCAGTTGCCTGAGTTTTTATTCGAGACTTGTTCAGTGTTCTCATTTTTCAGAGAGACCTCCCAAGTGTCCACTCGTTTCAGTCGTCTCCCAGATTGCTTAAAACTACCTATCATGGGTTTTGTTATTCGTACCATATTTATTGAATTCTTCTTCTTCAAATAAGAAGTGTAAAATGTTTTTGAAATTTGGTATTCAGTCAAGGTCTTGGTAACTTCGTCCACACGGTCGTCTCCTGTCGTTTCCATTTTACCACTATTTTTTGTGTACCAGCTGACTTATCACGGGTTTATTGGTGGCAATGTTTCAATAGTCCAAACGGTCGAGTCTTACTAAGAGGATCCCTTCAGGATTTTCTCCAGGTTGACGATATTTGCATTGACAGATGCATTTGCGATAACTAGGCGTGCCAGATTTCTTTAGACTGCTTCTTTGGCCAACTTATCATATCTCTCGAACAGAAATCGATCTCTTCGATGGGCACATATTCTGAACCATCTTTATTTGTGTTAAAGTACTCAACTCTCGTGTCTTGGTGGTAGGACATATTCGGATCATTTTCTAGCACCGTAATCCGTGAACAGCAAATGTATTTATCCATTTAATCACTCGCAGTTTTTAGTTTAGAATTGCGATCACCATAAGAGGGATGTAGTAGTTTGATGTAGACCTCTGCAGCCATAAACTGCACAACTACACGACCGTCTGCTGTTTTGAAAAAAAGTTGATCTTTAAACAGTGCTGACGTGGCCTTAACTTTTGAACCACCGACAACCTGTTCTTCATCTTATACGAAAAACAATTTGTCCATCTGTCTGTGTAGCGACCAGTGAGGCAAAACTGAGCGATTGCATTGGTGCAAATTGCTAGTGTTCCGTGTGCGTAGTTTCCGTTGACGTCTTGCTTCCTCGCACATTGAGTAAACAGCTATTTCACCAAACCTGGAACTGGCTATGCCAGCACGTTTTTCACGAAGCTTGATAAATAGTCAAAGTTAGTTTTTCAGTTCCTTCGTCTTCTGCTAACTATCTTAGCCCTTTTGAACTTCTGTGGAATTGACAGTCTCTTCACGATCTAATTGAGAGTTCACACGTACTTAGTTCCGAGACTTGCGTCAGCTGGCCTAGATTGAGCAAGGTTTGGTTGTTGGTAGTCTTTACGGGTGATCCTTTGTGAAATTTACAACTTTAAGACCTGTTTCTGCATCGAAGACTACGGTGTTCTGCGTTATCTAGTGTCTTAATTCCAAAAACTGCAACAAGTACGCTCGGTAAGTTGGGCTGTTGTTTCTTCTACCATCAGCTGCAGAATGCAACTCAAAAAACGCGTGGCATAATGTCGGATCTCAGTATTTGGCAACTTCATCGGGTTACAATCGAATTTGATTGACGGTCATTCACAAGGCATTTGATTTTTAAGCCTTTCTTGCTGCATTTTTGTAAGTTCCATGCGTTGTTCAAATTCTAGCTGACGTAACATTATAATCTCCAGCTGTCGGTACAGGCGGAACGTCGAAATCATCTACAAAGTCGTTTATATTTGTGGATGAATTTGCAAACAAAACTTGTTTTTACTAATTTTATCCCTCGTGGCGCATACACACCAAACCATCTCATTTTCACTTGATCTTCATTTCCTATTATTTTTAGTGTGAAGTGCTAAATTTAGAGATTGAACTTTAGCCGACCATCATAATTATGCACACTAATTAATGAGGCGACATGAAACATAAATTGTCACGTGGTTAGTCTCAGCTGAAGAGTGTCAACAATGCGTCTTTGAAGCGTTTAATTGCAATCCCAGCATATTTAGGATTTGGGAATTTTGTTTCGCCAAATATTACGTTTAAGTTTTCACCCTCTCCAGGCGATTCGGTTCAGTGTTACAACCAGAAGAAGTGGACAATTTTTATGTAGCAACAACGGACAGCACAACAACACATAACGCCGGGGGTGGGGGAGTCGCGTCATCCTCAGCCGGAGCTGGGGGGCAGTTGCAAACTGCAGGGCAATTTGGCGTCGCGACCGGTTCGTCATCCAACCGACCTCATCCGGAGCGAATGCCCGAGGGACCTCCGCTCACTCGAACCCTCGATCCCGTGGACGGTGGCGCAGTAAGCCCAACTTATTTTGCTGAGTTTCTGTAATACATTACATCGTGTTTAAGGACACACCAGTGAACTATGTTCTGTTTTGAGTCTTGGTACCTCCAGCTTGGTTGATCGATCTGCGTGAAGTAGAGCTTTAGTTTATATCTTCCATTTAGTCGATACGAGTGATTTTGGAAAAGGGGGCATCTTCCAGACGTCAAATCAAAGTTAGGCCCTTAAAAACACCTCTATTTAGAAATTCATATGGTAAATTCGATTTTAGGGGACCGGAACCTTGTCTTCCAACACTGCACTTGTGCGTAGGTACCAGAATCGTTCGACACTTGCAGTTTTTGTCTTAACAGAATAGTTCTTGGCAGTGAAGAAACTTCGTTGAGCCCATTGAAAGGCTGTTTGAAGATATTAATAGAATTAGATTTTGTGATGGAAAGTTTTACATGCGTAAATCAGTAAGCTTGTGTGAAGTCAAACTTTTCATTTAAAATGGTAGGTGATTTACTATATACCTCTTTAACAGTATTCAAATTACAACACTTGTAAAATATCCATAGCCTCTTTTTTGTGCTGTTCTTGTTGATATAAAGCGTGTAAGCTTTGAGAGAGGTCATATTACATCCCGAAAGTGCGTCTTAGGCAAAACTTTGTGGTTAATGCCATGGTTTACAGAGGCCATCATAAACAGGTTTTCTTTTTCGTTGGTCATTCTCGTGTCTATTGGTTCGTGGGGTTCCCAACGGCCATATTGAATAGATAGTTGCCAAAACAAGAGTTTTTTAAACGCCTCTTCCGTAATTGTGATTTCCCGGCCCTCAGCGTCTGGCCCCTTGAACACAGTTAAAGAGCTTAAATTAACGCAATAAAAATAGACAATCTGGGTTAATTTCGGTCGCTTGTAATGGCAAGGCCTTTGCCTCTAAATATTTCCACCACCTTTGACTCCACCCACATAGATTGGTTCACCGGTAGCCGCATCCGGCGCGACGGGGATTGCTGGTGCCACCAGCATGAGTGGCCCAAACGCGGGCGCCGCTAATAACGCCGGCTCATCAGTCTCGACAGCGGCGGCATCAGCATTGGCTGCGGGGGCTGCAGCGGCTGCCGGGGCGAAGC